AGTATTTTAAACTGTATAAAAAAAATTGAAATCAATTGTGAAAATCCATTCCTTATATAGGACGTTCCCTCCTGTTGTTGGAGATTGGATTAATATCAAAATCATTAAAAAACAAAATAGCCAACCCTACCCATATGATTACATATTACATACTTTGTTTGAATGTGTGAGCGGTCCTCTAAAGAAATAAAAGATCAAAATTTTAATTAGTTAAAATTTAACAAACTATTAATATGGTTTATTATAAGCTTTTTGTTGATTCATTTTATTTGTTATTTATTAAACTAGAGTGACGACGGGTGGCGAGTGACAACCACTGCCACCATCCTTAAAACACTTACCCGTGCTGTTCTTTGTTTTTTCCTTTGTTTCTTTTATTCGAATCTTTCTTTTGTGGCATTGTAACAAGAACAAAAAAAAGAAAAAAAGTTTGTGAATGATCGATGTGTACACACTAATTATTTATCCTATTGGTTTTTTTTTTGGTGGGACAGACGTGAATTGATTTTTTTTTTCTTTTTTTCTTGGAAAAACAATTTACTTTTTGACAGAGCCCAAGGTGACAAAACATGAGCATTGTTGTTCGGGTCTCCTAAAGAAAACGTGTTAATAACTAACCAGAGGTACTATTTTATTTTGGTTATTATAAACATTTTAATTGGAATCAAAACGCTGTGCAGATCTTGCTGGGTAATTATAAGAATTTCATTGATAATATTTTACTTTTCGTAATCATTAATATTAATAATATTATAAATATTATAATCACAAGATATCAAGGCAGCACACTGTTGAAAAAGAAACATTTCAAATATGCAATGTTTGATTACAGGAAATTGGCAGGCATTGAAGCATGCACACATGCTACCTTGAACACTTTACAGTCATTCACACATCTTCCTCGTGTACATAAGGCTAATCTGACTTGCGTCCCTTGATGATACAATGATGCAAGCAAATTCCAGGGGGGGTCGCTCTGCCCTGGAGTTTACCAAGACTGCACCAATCGTCAATGACGCTTTCACTAACCTTTCCAGACCAGAGATGGCTGCTGGCATGCTGGATGAAAAGTTGCTGCAATGATCCTACCTCTAGGGCAAGGATGGCTCTGTGACCAAGTCGCAACTCTGCTGATGAATTGTAGTGCCATGTAAATATCTAGATTCATCAAAGCAATGAGAATCTGCATGTAACAATTTACTTCGTAATCATATACAATGTCTTATGTAGTACAATAATATTTACATCTGGAAATGTGACACACAATTAATTATTATTTGTAGCATCAATTATTTCGTGTCTTTAGTTATTATTTATTATTTACTATTTATCTATGTCCACAAATCTTCCGGATAGATTGATAAGAATTATTATGATTATTTTATTTATATTTTATCAATCTTTTATTATTATTTATATTTTATTTATATCATATCAATCTATGTAATTTTATTATATAAAGGACATCATTTTTAAGATAATAAAGATAACTTTGTAATTTTACAACAATTAAATTACTTATTTCGCTTTTAAACATTGAATGTTTACAATTTTACAACTTTCCTCTTGACATCAGAGCCCAAATGCAATTTCAGGGTTACCAACCCTGCTCTGAATTGCAACCTCCTGTACTTGAAACAAGTTGCAGGTTCTCTTAATATTCTTCCAGAGTTGTGACATGTTGGTCACAGAGCCATCCTAAAGGTGGGATCATTGCAGGCAACTTTTCAGCTTTTTCTGGTCTGGGTGCTGTGAGGAAGATTAGGTGGGATGTCATTGACGATTGATGCAGTCTCAGTAAACTCCAGGGCCAAACTCCCCTCCCCTGGAATTCTGTTGCATCATTGTATCATTGAGAGTGACTCAGTCAGATTAGCCTTGTGTACACAAGGAAGATGAGAAAATGACTGTAAAGTGTTCAAGGCAGCATGTGTGCTTCAACACCTGCCAACTTCTGATAATCAAATGTTGCATATCAAAATGTTCTGTATTCAAATTGTTTCTTTTTCAAGTCATGTGCTGCCTTGACATCTTGTAAGTATTTATTATTATAATAATATTATTATTGATTATGAGTACAAAAAGCAAAATACCAATTGTTTACCATCTTGATGAGAATCTTAGAAAAAGCTTTGAGAAAAATAGAACTGCTAGAAAACACTGTGGCATGGCAGAATTATTTAGTAGGCAAGCAACTTCAAGAACTACCAGTTTTACCAAGGAAAGAAAACAATTTAAACTTCTAACTAACAAAGTAAAGAACAAAGTTAGCCAAATAAAAGAAATAACCAGAGAAAAATTCAATGCCTATATTTTACAAAAGAATAAATAGTATGAAATTATAATACCAAGTTAACAAGCTGAGGAGAGGAGACAAATGGCATTGTAATTTCTGTCCTTTTGAAAGAGAAAGGAGTTTAACTGCTACTTACAAAATAGTATCTTACAATACAAGCAATAATGATTACAATGACATTGCTTATATTTGTGTTGAGTGTAAAAAAGCTCTTGATGATAATACTTTGCCACATTGTAATGATTGTGGTAGAATTATGAGAAACAGGATAGATTGTTTTTGTGATTTAAGGAAAGATGAATCAGTCAAAACCCCAACCATAACAGAAATAATGGCACAGAGTTATGTTGGCAGATTGGAACAGCAGAATAAAGACTTAAAACAGCAACTATCCAGTGCTAAGGAAGAAATCAGTTCTCATTTGGAAGCCTTAGAAGTTTCAAAGGATTGACATAATAAGCAAAAGCAAGAATTTTTAGATAAAATTCAAAGACTTGAAAGTGAAGTTGAACAGTTAAAGAAACAGCAGACTCAACTAACCGCACAAATTGAAGTTAAAGAAACTAAAAAATGACCTTGATTGAAAATAAATGGTAATTAAAAAAGTAACAAAGTTGAAAAAAGTAATTATTTGTTATTCTGCCAGTTTTCTTTTTTTTCTTGATTCTTTAGTCATCAGGAAAATGGGTACAAATATTATGCGTATATAATACGCAATTTCAGGGATTAAGCATATAATATATTTACAATTTGCATACATAAAAAACATATGGGCCGATTTGCGGAATGGACAAATTACAGGGGATATGTAACACAAAAATTTTACTATTACTATGATAACCAATAATAAATAAGCACATAATAATAAATAATAATAAACATGATGACAGAAAATTTTAACCAAGAAAACACTAATCCTAATCTTCAAATTGAAGAAAACTCCACATACCCATTAGTTAATAATATTACATACAAAGAGCGTGTAAATAATCAAACGAAACGTAGTTTCAGTTATGTTATTATAAAAGAAGGTGTTTATCCTGAAAAAGTCCTTACTGGACCAAAAAGCAAAAATTCTGTAATTAGTAGAAAAAAAAGATCAATTCAACAATATAAAATCCCACATAATTATATTGTAGAAACAACATGGGGACGAGCAGCTAATAAACGAACAGTTCGTTGTAAAATTAATTATGTTGATGGAATACCTCAATTTTGTATTGAATATGGTTTTAACTTTCAAAATGTCATTTTCTCAACTAAATCTCCATCTGATGCAGCGCTTAATTATGAGAGAGTATGTATATTTTATAATAATTAGTAACTTATAGAATTACCTAATTAATATTATTTTAGGCTTTAAAACCAGGGACAAAGGCTACTATTTCAGGTCCCCTTGTATTTGGATTACAATTAAACAGTGTGCAAAAGGCACGTGAAGCAAGAAGAAGAGGGCATTTAATTAAACCAGCCAATAATTGTGTCCAATCAACACTTGAAAAACGTGCTAAAAAAATTGCAGAAAGAACACAAGTTAGTTTTAATAATAATGTTAAGGAAATTTATCATGAGTCTGATAAAGTTATGCTGAAAGAAATTGAATTCACACTTAATGATATGGATTTTCAAGTGAATTATGGTTATGAACAAGAAAAAAAAAATCATCAAATTCAATCTATAGTAAAAGCAGTTGACCAAGGACAGATATCCAGATGTTCTTATCAAAATTTAGCTGCTGCAGAATATAATTTACCACGTTTAGGCTCTGTTTCTGATGAACGCACTGCAATTACTAATTATATGAATCAAATAATTAAAATTTCATTGGTTGACATAAAAAAAATAAATGAACCTGAAGAGTCAATAGAGTCTGAAGAAGAAGATATTGTGGATTTGGAAATTATACAAAAAGTCATTGATACAATGGGAATAGGTATTCGTCGTAGTGCAAAAGACATTTTATGTTATATTATTCCACAGTTGCAGAAACAGCAAATATTAAAATCATCAGATCCAACTATTCATCTACGTGTTTCTGGTGATGGATGGAATGTAGGAAGGAAAATTAAACATGTCATGGTGACATTTATGATCTTAAACCATGAGGATAAACATCATCATGCAGATTATCATTATACTATAGCATTATATCCAGGCACCGAAAAATATGATCTGCTTAAATTTATGTTAAATCCTTTTCTTGATGAGTTACGATCACTCAAAAATGATGGATTAAAAATATCTGGAGTTTTATGGAAATTTGAGTTATATTTTAGTGCAGATTGGAAATTTTTGGCTATTTGTCTTGGATTAAATGGTCCTACTGCTAACTACTTTTGCCCTTGGTGTCTATGTTCAAAACATCAACATGGTGATTTAAACAAAGATTGGCATATTGAAAAAAACATGGAACAAATTGCAACAAGATATAGTGAGGTTAATGGTCACATTTTTCCACCTTTATTTGACATGATTTCAATAGATCATATTGTTTTTGATGAATTACATGTTCTTCTACGAATTACAGATAGACTTTGGGAATTAATGCTTGCAGAAATCCAAGAATGTAATTTATTTAATAGTATAACACGAAAAGTCATTTTAGATGAAATGCTGCGATTGAAAGTACCTTTTCAATTTTGGGAAGAAGAAAAATCTCATGCATGGAAATATACATCTCTTGTGGGGGATGACAAAAAAATTGTTTTGCAATTTTTTAACTTAAAGTTACTTTTTAAACC